GACTGTAGAAGCTGGAAAACCTTGGCAACTGTGTTAACTCGACAATAAACAATTGTATTGTCAGCATAAAGATGCAAGGAGGAATGTTTTGACTTAAGCAAATTGTAAAAAGAGTGGGTCCTCAAACTGAGCCTTGTGGCACACCATTACTTTTTCAGTCAACCTTTATTTAGACAGATAAGTCACATTGAGCCTAGAAGACTCATTAACAAGTGAGATCTGTTTAGACAGACAAAAAGTAGTGAAACTGGACACATGTAAGAATTGGAGGCAAAAAAATTCCTATCAGACTTCTATTTTCCTTCATGAGAAGAAAAAACTCTGATATTGAAAAACTCTCCACACAAACAAGCACATAGTGACAGACATTCTGCAGAGGGGGGAGATGACGAGAGCGGTGAGCATGCCCATAGACGCTCTCGAGGGCACTGCAAGAGTTCTGATAAGGATGTAATAATCAGCCTGTTTCCTCCGGTGAGATCCGTAAACATTCTCAAGGTATGTTGGGGAATGGCCAAGAATAACGACTATGAGGATCCAAGAGTCCTGAAATGATGACACAAAGTTTATTCAGCTGGTTTAATCTGGCTATCAGTTAGAAATTCCTCAGGGAGGGGGTGGTGAGCGTCAGATCACATGTTCTCCAGGCAAATTCAGATAAGATGGCCTTCAAGGCCAGCTGAGGGTGCCAAATTCAGATAAACACACAGTTGTTTTGGGGACAGGCAGAACTTAATGACATCTACCTTGAGTCTGTGTTGGTCCACTCGGTTCCGAAATGTCCAAATTACAAGGCCACACCGATGGAACGTGACTGAGCAAAATCCCTAAGATCTGATCCATTCTGCCCAAAGTATTTGAGTCTGGGTACTCGAGGCACGAACCAAGCCATCATAAAGGCAGCGTGATAGGGTCCAAATTTGCTGCCGACAACTTCCTTGACTGTTGATAAAACCAGCAACCAGACGAATTCAAAAAGAAGGAACAAGTTATCGTAAATCCAATTAAATATG